CTCCTGGATCTCTAAAGATGCCCAGATCCTACGGTCAACGTGGCTGAAATTAAAACTAGGACTTCAGCCACATGAACCCACCTGTGCCTTTTAATACAAATGCCTATTCAGATAGTTATAAAATGCACATATTCACATATGGATATTAATGGATCATACATTTATACACTACAGGTAAGAAAATGAGTAGACTCAGACATACAATGATTATCTGACAGGAGGTTTTGCTGGGCACTAGTACATCAAGGCACAAGTTTAGATAAATAGACTTCAAGGAGCACACGCAATGCTGCTGCTGGTTGGGGCGATTCTCAACACACTCATGCAAACCTGCTGCAGCTTCTGATTATCCAGACAGTCTTTTCTCTTACATCAAAAAAGCCTACCGTAACCTACACACCTGCAACAACGTAGGTTCCCAGCATGAGTGTTGAATGAATAAATGATCCAGATTGTTACAACAGACTAGTATGGGAGAAATGTCCAATTAGACATGTCTTTGTTGACTCAAAAGCCTTCCTCTCCACATCTCTCATTTCTGGTTTTAAGTCTACCTTGCATAATTCTTCTCCCCAGCCAGGATACGAACTTGCTTCTTTTAATGCCCTTCTGGCTTCTTCTAGTTCAGTTACCTCAGGGTGGTCTTCGACTCCTCAAACCAACTGAACCTATTCCTAAGTTTCCTTTCGGATGGCCCCCAAAGTAAAACCTTATCTGTGTCCAGTACTATCCCACTGAACTAGAATTTTCTCAAGCATTGATATTTTGGGTGAAGGTAAAAAAAAAAAAGCAAAAATTTATTTTTATTGAACTATTGAAAATTATACTTACCTACTTAAAAATCACATTTGTTTTTAAAAGGTCACTATTTAATTCCCCATACACAGTGTTTCAACTGCATCTTAAATCTGTGAAATAAGGGGCATCTTTTTTCCCTAAGGAAATGCATTTTGAGTTTTAAATAATTTTCAAACTCTGGGTTTGTTTAATGTCACTAATTGATGTAATACAAATGCACTTTCAGAATATTTACTCAAACAAAATGTTACAAAATTCTACAAAAGGCAGCTATCAATATTTTAACAAAATATTCTCTATTTTTCAAGATCACAAGTTATTTAAAATAACTACTACATTCCAGTAGAGGTAGAAATAAAGGGAATTATATTATTAAGGGAAGAGGATTGTCATTGGATGTCAAATATGGATAAATTATTATATGAAATATCATTGTTAATCAAAAAACTAAGTATATAAGAGGTGAGTTCAAAATTCACAAGAAATACTCAAAAATGTGTAAAAATCTAAATTCATGATATAGTAACTAAGCAAAAAACATGAGCTTCGATGGAGAAATCCAGGGTATGAAGATAAAAAATAAACAACTTACGATATATTGATTTTGTATAAAATTATTTAATGTTCATTTATTAGATGTAACAACAAAAGTTAATTTGGAAGAATATTTATTTGCTAACATTGCACATATATAAAAAGTTGACTCTCTTTGGTTTAGAATTTCATCTCTTTCGTTTTAAATATTCTAGAACCAAAATGAATGTTATGATAAATTTTTTATTAAACAGCATCACACATTGTCACACATAAAGTGAAACAGTGATTGTACATTATATCCCTTAGCCATCAGCACATTAAAATTCAGCAGATATGCACCAAAGACAAATATCTGTGAAACAGAAGCTGAGTAACTGGATAATCTTGAAGAAAGTAGTATTTGAGTACAGCCAGAGTTCAACCTTCCTCTTTGCTTATCTGAATCACCACAGATACTATCTTGATTAACTCAGATATTTGCTTCCACAAATGTAGATTATGGCTAATCCCAATCCCTGAAATAAAAGGATGCCAGTGTGTTCGGGATACAGGCACTTAAACACTTCGGAAACTATCTGCCAAGAGCTACTTTGAAACCGTACCTAATTTCTTGAGTTCTGCTTACAAACTAATGTACTATGTAGAGTAAAAATTGCCATACCACACTTTACTATGAAAATACATCTAAGTGACATTAGCTTCCCACCAATATTAATATGGGGAGGAAAAGAAAATATATTGCCGGAAATGATTATATCCATGAAGTTTGGGAGTGTCTGCTCAAAACTCAAAACTCTTGAGTAAATTAAGTGAGGCATTATGCACTTGCTCAGTTTAAATCCTGCAGTTTCTCAGACACAGAAAATTTGAAAAGTTACTATATATAGATGCTGACATAGAAGTTTCTGGAGGAAAAAAAAAAGAAAGAAAGAAAAAGGAAAATAATCCAAGAAAAATTTGCTGTGTTCAGAGGGATGCCCTTCCAGCTCCTGCAGGGATGGGAGGAGCTCAGGAACTACTTAAAAGCTACTGATGTTTCCAGAAATGATGGCAGCTGCTGTACAAAAGGGCAGTAGGCTTCTACATGTAATCAAGCATGATTAAAACTCTAGTCTTCATGTATTTCAGCTTTACGTCATTCCATCGCATTACTCTAAATTTCAGGACTTACAATTTCACAGCTGCCTAATGACAATTGGCCCGTTATCCCCTTAGCTCTGGAATATGCCTCATCTAACAATAACAAAGGGTGGGTAATACTACAGTCATTCTGGTTTGATTAACTCTGGGTTCTGCCTTCGATAAGCGGGTAAAGGATTATGGTCCAGAATCACAGAAGCGAATTTTTTGAAGAGCAAATTGAAAAATCTCTTTCACTCACTAGACCTCAATTCTAATGTTTGTTAAATAATCTGATACTAATCTATGAAGATCATACAATTTCCAGATGACTCTAAAAATTAACATCCCAACAACCAGAAACACTTTTCTTATTGCAACTGAATTCTTTATTTGATTATAAGGAAATACACATTCCAAAGGCCATTTTGTAAAAAAAAAAAAAAAAATTCAAATATTTTGTAAATATGCTGGGCTACCTTTCCTGTGAAAAATGACTGTTCTCTCTTAATGCTTTATTTTTATGGTATTAAATTATTAGGAAAGATACAGAATCTCAAGTCTATTCTAGTCAGCTTTCCAAAATAAGCAAACTCAACACTGTAGTACTTGGAAATTCTCTACGTTGAACGGGAGTTTTAAAACCTACTTTTATAGTGAAATTGAGTGCTATACTCTGGATTTGTGCATACGAAATGCTATGGCTGTATGGTTCCTTGTATTATTTCTGCAACTCTTATAAACATTTGAGAGCAAAAGAGAGAGACAAGTCCTTTCAAAGGCAGTTCCTCAAGCATAGCAGAGTAGAAGCCAGCAAGGTATAGTATGATATGGTATGAAGAATACAAACTTTCCTGTTCAAATCCCCTTTCTACCAATTAAGCGCTGTCCAGCTCTTGGAAAGTTATGGAACTTCTTTGAGGCTTAGTTTTCTCATTTACAAAAAGGAGGTACTTCACAGGGTGATCGTGAGTACCTAATGACATAATGTATTTAACACTGGGTTCCACTTCCTGCTTAGTTCCCAACCTAGCAGACATCTTTCTCCGGCACAGAAGCAGGTTCCAGGCAGGTTCACTTCCGGTTCCTTTTCCCTTCCTCTCGTTGAAGGTCAACCGGAAGGGGACCAAAATGGCTGCCTAGCAGTTAAAAGTGGCTTCCTAGGTTTCATTCAGAAAGCAGTCTCACCCTCTAAGGTTATTTTAAGTCCTGTGTGTCCTTTGTTGCCTGGTGGAGTTGGACTAAACAGTTCTTGGTGGATTGCTGTTGAGTTGGGAAATTTAATTCTCAATGGTTTGGGTGGGTAGGTTGAACACATTTGGGAGGCAATCTGATGTGACAAAGTTATAGACACTATAGCACCACCATCTATTGGTTATGTGGCTTGGGGCTTTACCTCTCTGAGTCTTAATGTCTCAATTATCACCTCAATCACCACCTGTAAGTAATGAGGACAGTGATACCCACAAAATATTGTCGTGGGGAGTTTAGATTCTGGCTCAGGACCTGGTCTATGAATGTTAGGTTTTCTTTTTCCTGCTGTCACTTTATTCTGTCACTTATCATGGTTTTAAAATACTACGGAAATTATTTTAATGACATATTTTAGCGCCATTATTTTAATTAGCTAATAATGGCATAAATATTAATATTTGACTAAATCTTGAATTTTTAAACAACACACTGCCCCAGATAGCAACTTGGAGTTAAATAATATATTTAAAGTGTTGTAGAAACAGCTTCTGCTTCTCGAATGATGCATTGCTTCTTGAATCGTGTTCTTTGTAGATGAAGTAAGGCCAAGTTAAAGTCTCTGTCACGGATTTGGAGCTTTTATTTCATTACTCTAAGAAAGGTTATGAACTGAATATCATCATCAAATTCAGATACAGAAAGGTTTCAGACTTTCAACCAGGCCCCAGGGTCATGGAAGAACCATTCCAGGTACCATGTCTCATTTTTCATCATGGTACTCTCATGGAAATAGTAGGCATCCATCTGTATTTGGCACAGTATACAAAAGAGCAAAGACTCTTGCAAGCAAAACACCTAAGCACTGTCAAACTAATTCAAGATAAAAAAAATTATGCATTTCTGCAATTTTCCTTATATTAGAAAAAGGAGAGGAATAATTCAGGATTTCCAAAGTCCTGCTGGCTTGCTACAAGTTTGACTATGAAAATTCAGCAGCTGATGAGTGAATGGAGTACAGGCTCCTTTGGTTCAGAAATAATAAGAACATCCTGCAAATAAATTTCTCTGATGGATTTGTACACCCTGAGGCTGAAACTTTGCAAACAGTTCAGGTAACAGAAAAAATGTGCTGAGCTGTATGGTTTAAATGGTACTATTGCTGCCAAACCCAGCTGTATATGCTCCACAGAAAAATTAATAAAACACTAATGAAATATAACAAGTTATCCTCTAGAATTTAAAGTTAATTAAAAACCACAAAGGCTTTGTCCTATTTTCTCATAATTTGAATATCTAAAAACTGCATAAGGACGTATTATAAAGGGCCACTAATCATGTTATGATCCTTTGTCTTTTTTTTTAAACGAAAGACTTTGGAATGAATGGTTAAAACCCACACACCATCTCTCCCCTAGTTTCCATTTAAGACTTAAGAAGATCTTCAGTCTGAAGAAAACAATTTATCTCACCATTACCAATTGAAAGTCATGTGTTCATAGATATTCCATCTATAGTGTAATTAAGCATAACTAACTTTATCACACGTAACAATAACTTTACTGTACATTAGTAAGTTGGTAAACATATACATCATACCCCAAGTTCTGCCCCCATAGAAATTTATTAGCATGTTCAAAAATCCAGAATGTTCCTAGGACAAATATTTATAGCCACATTCTTCTTTGTACTTTGAAGTCTATTTGTAATGACAGCATTTCATTTATTTTTGTGTATGAAATTGCCAAACTTCTGCATTAGTCCTCGAAACTTGTTTTCATTTGGCTGATACGCGTGGTAAACACCAGTGTTGTAATTAAGCATTGGGCTGGACCTGCCGTAGCTGTTGGGCACCGTTGTGGGTTTCACCTCCGGGCGGGGTGTCCCAGTCTTCGGCATGTTGCTTGTGGGCTGAATGGCGCTTTCAATCTTACAAAAGGGCTCAAAACGACTGTAAACGCGCCGGTCCATGGAATGCGATTTCAGAAGCTCATCATTGGGCTTTGGCCTTGGAGAAGAAGCTGGTTTTCTTTCTGGCACAACAACTGCTTTCATCTCCTTCGAATCTCGGTATTGGATCTGCTCGGTGTTGAATCTCGGGGCAGAGGCATCTCCTGCTCTTTCCGAGAACTTATTTTCAACTGGACCTGCAGAAGGTATGATCTTGTTACTTTGATCGGATGGAGAATGCATCCCCTGAGATGAACGAACCGCTACATCTTCTTTACTCTTGTGGATGCTGCCTGGAGAGTTGGATGAGGAGGAACGCTTTCTTCTAGGAGACACATCCATTTTGGGTTCTGATTTTTTTTGTTTTTGATTCTCTTCAACCTCAGAAACTAAAGTGTCAGAACTACTACACATTCTATAAAAGGCAGGGGCTTTATTTTTGGAGAGATTTTCTTTCTTTTCTGGGGCAAGGCTAAGCAGTGACCTTAACTTCTGAGACCCCTTTTTCAAAAAACTTGGGGAGCCCTTCACTTCTTTCCTGGAAGTGAGTTCTTTGTTAGGTTCCTCTTTGTTCACGTCATTCAAAGCAGCAATGGAAACTGACTTGGTATTAGCGCCGATGGGAGGGTCTCTCTCCATCACCTCCTCCTCGTCCTCCTCTTCCACCCTCTGGGTCACATTGTGCATGCTTTTCGAGCTTTTTAGCAACTCCTCTTTGGGTTTTTCTGGTTGCCTAACTCGATTTCTGGTAAGTGTACTATATACATAATGCTTACTACTTCCATGATCAAAATTGGCTTTTGAGTGGTCAAAGAACGGGAAACTCCGCCTTTTCAGCAGATTCTCATTTGGTTGGCTCTTGAGATTTTCTGTCTGCTTATTCACACACAAGGTTGTATACAAATAGCTGTTTGGCTCCGTCGGGCCGTTTGCAGCTGGGTTCGCGCCCGCTGGCTGGCTTTCGGGAACCGGCAACGCGTGCATTTTCGGCGCCTCCGGCTGCGGCGCGAGCTTGGGGGTGGAGTCCAGCGCGGGCTTGTCCGGCGGATGCTGCGCCCCTGTCGGGGTGTCGGGGGCCGCCTTCGGTGTGTCACTGCCCTGGGAACCAACGACAGTTGAATTCGAGGAGTCCGTCGTGCAGCTGCTGACCTCCTGCTGCTCGGGTAGCGTCGGTTTAAACACAAAAGAGGAGCGGAGGCGGGAGTGCGCGTACAGGGCGCTGGCTTTCGCATTCTCGGGGCCCTCGTAGCCCTCCAACCGGTCGCCCAGAGCCGACCCGTTGGCCTCGGGGGCCGCCTCCGAGTGATCGTTTAGGTAGGACTCGATCCTCCAGTTCCGCAGGAACGACTTGGTGGTGTGCTCCAGGGTCGGCATGCGCTGCTGCAGAAAGCGGATGTGGTTGTCCGTGCCGTTGAAGGACCTCCGCACGCTGCAATTCCTCTCGGCGAGGTTCGTCGTCTTCCGCTGGGCCAGCCGGTCCGCGAAGC